AAAACTTCTTAAAACACGATGAAAATCCTTATCAAAATTTCGGAGACAACCTTACACTGTATCTCCTATAGGTCCTGTAATTTTCCCTAATTAAAAGGCTCTGCACGAATTTTTTTTTCAGACATTTCTGGTGCCCGAATTTTTTTTTCTTTCTATTTTCCCTGCTCGAATTTTATTTTTGTCCCCCCCCCCCATCACTTTTCTAATGGTCCGCCCCTAATCGCACTTCAGCGCGCTGTTGTATCTGAATTTATACTGCGCATGAACGGGATTTTTTCATCTTCGAAAAGATCAGGCTTTTAGCTGTTGAATGATATGTTTTTCATGGAAAATGGATAAAAAATAAGCAAGTACGAGTCTGATAAAAAATGCTAGTCAGGATCACATATTTTCACCGTTGTATTCGGTACTTATTATAAAGTTGATGAATTTCACTTCAGTAAACTATACGAACATATTCATAATTATTATTAAGTAGGAATAAATCAGTTATCTAAGCTACGACAAGTTCGTGATTAATTGCTTTTTCTTTTGTTATGCACTGCTTTATTAAATTAGGCACAGAGGTAAAAATATGCTATTCTGACTAATATTTTTTATCGGACTCGTACTTGCTTATTTGTTCTCCACTTGGTATGAAAAACATGTCATTCAACAACTAAAAGCCTGATCTTTTCGAATATGAAAACAATTTGTTTATACGCCTAGTAATTCAGGTACAATAGCGCTCTGAAGTTCGATTACCTTTACCCGATACACCCTGTAAATAAACATGTCATTAACGGTTTCCTATTGGATATATTTAATTGGATATAGTAATAGGGAGCTTTAGATTTGACTACGAGTACGACTACGAGTACGAGATTTGATCGCGTGCGAGGAAATTACCGTAGTCGTTTTCGTTTCCATTCAAATGTTGCTTTTATAACAGTAAACCAACAACTAGAGAAAAAGTTTCATAAAGTAAATCCCCTGCCGACTAAAATCCCCTACAAAACGTGTAAATAAGTCATAACATTAAAAACAGACCAGATATTTAGCACTAATATATTATTTGCGCCGGATAAACGCTATATAAATGCTACAAATTATTTTTGGAAAACAAAAAAAAGTCAACTTTCTTTGTTTTTTTTGAAAAGTCGTCGTGAGGACTACGAGGTTTCTCCACAATTTCGTACTCAGATGGGCGACGGCTACGACTTTTTAGCGTCAGTACGGGATGGCGTAAGCATACAGCATGCGTTTAGCTTGACGAATCTCGTACTCGTAGTCGTACTCGTAGTCAAATCTAAAGTTCCCTAATGTTTATGCAAAGACGGAGCAAATTTGACAAGAGTGAAAAATGGGCGTATTTCGTTTCTTGATGTGTTGTCGCCGGTCCCTTCTTTCTTCGAGGGACCACTCGCGGTCTACGTTTCCATATGACAACAATTCATTGGCATATCATAAGAATATTATAAACATCCGAACCAGAGGCAGAACAGAAACGTGCGCGTGAAATGAAACTGCGCCCGAACCGCGAGAAAATAAAAGGGCATGCAATATTTCAAAGCATACAATCATGCGTTTTCGTTGCTTGATTTCCTGACTTGTCTGTTGCTATAAGAATCTACAGTTTAGCATGTTTGTACAATTTAAAAGCAAACAGAAACCAATTTATCAAGTATTTTGAAGTACATATGATTCTCAAAGATAATTGTACAGAACGGCCACTCCTTGCAATCGAAGTGTGAAGTGCGGAAGTGGAAACATGTAATATGAGACTTTTCCATCCCCCTCTTTGGCTATCAATTTTCTATGGGTCACGTGACCAACTCCGACCAGGGTCTTTGCTCCACAAGAGGAAAGAGCCTGGGAACGAGGTTGTTCTACTGTCTCTCATGTCTCGTGTTTTGACTTTCTTGGTTTCTATATTATTCTCATTTGGACCCGTAGGTTTTGCTAGGATTGTAAAATGATCTGATAACGCAATTTAAGGAAGTTGATGCATAGTGAAAAGCTTTGGTCTATTCGTTAAAAATCAGTCAAGGGTATTTGATTCTTTAGTGTTAAAAGTAACTACTTGTTTAAGATGGTTGGGTAATGTTAGATGTGTCTGGAGTTTGGATTGAAATCTTCAGTTATTACAACTAGGGCGTTAGGGTATTTCCTTAGTAGGTTATCCAGGTTACGCTCAATATTATGATCCTATAGTATTAAGTTCTCAGATTCGCGGTTGGATGCATGTTGTGTGGTATATCACGACAGCGACGATACACGTAATATTTCTAGGTAATTTATGTGGTCTGTGCAGCATCCAAAGCGCTTCAACTTGATCTTCGATGCACTCTTCAAGTTGTTTACAGGGAATACTATTATGAATGTACATGCGCACCCCATGTACAGCATGTAATAATACTTTGCGTGTTTGTTTAGGAAAGACGCGGCATATTATTATGTGTTAAATGAGTCACCCGCACGATTTGAAAACCAGCATGATCGGAGTGTCCCTATATGTCGTGTGTCGTGGGTTAAAAGTCGTGTGTCGTGGGTAAAGTCGTGGGTAAAGTCGTGGGTCATAAAATGTGCTAAAAACGCATTTTTTCACGAAGATATTATTTTTATTTTTAATATTTTTTCGTACTTTTTCCATTTATGCACTAGATAAATACAGGAAAATTTAACGCAAAAAATCTCCAGTAATAAAATAATTTCTTATCTTGCTGTTATCTATAGTATAACCTTGTTTAACAAGTAAATGTTTGATTATGTTTCCGTTTCGTATAGTCTAATAAGCCTATAGAGTATACTGTATTGTTTGATGTATAAATGTATTGTTTAAGTTATAGGATATAGGTGTATTAGCATTGGAAGTGTTATAGTCCCTATCAATTCATGAACGTCGCGAATAATTATGTCTGATTCATGCCGATATGCCTGATACAAACATATGAGGCTATACTGAATTTTACGCTGCAGTGCCTAGTATAATTAGTGGCCAACGCTCGAGCCTCAAATTTTGCTATTTTATCTCCTAGACCAAGTATATGTTTGTGGTCCTTAAAGGTATAGACCGAAACATTTCATGTGTATGTGGCGTTCGGAAATATTCCATAAATTGCTACGATTTGGGATTTCCCGATTGAAACCCGAAATGATTTGTGCGATGTCGGGCTAATTGCCAACCGAGCACGCTAGCCGCTGTTATTTCGACAGAATATGATACCTTTACACTTTTCAGCTGTAATTTTCAGCGCGCACTGTAATCATATACATATCGTTTAATTTAGCTTCAAAAACTTGATAAAAAACATGTTATTCGTGTTCGTTCCCGCGGAGCACAATGGTGTCATAGTCAGTTACCAAAGGCAGAGCACATGCCAAGTCGCCTTGGTATAAATCATGTATGTAACGGGAAATCTTGCTTATTTCAGTCGAATAAAGTCAACCTTTTTTCTTTGATAATGTACGCAACATGCTGCGCATTTTACATTTAACAAAACAAGTTTTTGAAGCTAAATTAAACGATATGAATAATTCATCAATATGTCATGATTACAATCCGCGCATTTGTATTACGGCTGAAAAGTGTAGAGGTATCATATTCTGTCAAAATAACAGCGGCTAGCGCGCTCGGTTGGCAAATAGCCCGACATGGCGACATCGCACAAATCAATATCATTTCAGTTTTCAATCGCGAAATCCCAAATCGTAGCAATTTATGGAATATTTCCGAACGCCACATATCCTAAGAACAGCAGTCAAACATGAAATTGTTTGTCTATACTTTTAAGGGCCACGAACATATACTACAGGGTGTATCAAAAAAAGTAAGACAATTTTGAAATTGCTCTCAACTCCACAATTCTGTTCATGAAATGTAATTTTTGCTATATATGGATTGCTTGAGTTCTTAAATTATGGAAAATATAAAAAAATTTGAAAATAGTAAATTTTGCTATCCAGGGGGGTGGTCAACTTTTGCTCCCCTAAAAGGGGCTTGCGCACGGGAATGACAAACGGTATTCTTTATTTGAGTTCATGTATGAAAAGTTCGCTATTTGTTGCATTTATGATAAAATTTCGGCAGGATTTTACCGAGTACAAATCCTCCGAAAAGCCTATGAAAACGTTACATTTTTCTCTGTTGGTGCTGTTCTTGCTTCATTATGAATTCATTTTTACTCCCATGAGAGTTCCATGGAATTTCCATGGAATTTGTGCTTTCGAGTTGTTTGTGCTGAAACGCATTTTCTCGTATAATACTCCGTACACTTTGAAATGGCGATGCCACGATGCTACGAGTTCCTCCGTAGCAACAACATAAACTTGGTTCGCCAAAGTTTCACGAAAGAATATCCAGATGTACGATGCCCTTCACGTGCGAATACGTGAAGGGCATCGTACATCTGCATATTCGTTCGTGAAACCTTGGCGAACCAAGTTTATGTTGTTGCTACGGAGGAATCTAATACCATGCATAAAAGCTCTCTGCTGCGGGGTAAATTGTGGCATCGCCATTTCAAAGTGTACGGGGTATTATACGAGAGAATGCGTTTCAGCACAAACAACTCGAAATCACAAATTCCATGGAAATTCAGCGGAACCCTCATGGGAGTAAAAATGAATTCATAATGAAGCAAGAACAGCACCAACAGAGAAAAATGTAACGTTTTCATAGGCTTTTCGGAGGATTTGTACTCGGTAAACTCCTGCCGAAATTTTATCATAAATGCAACAAATAGGGAACTTTTCATACATGAACTCAAATTTCCATAATTTAAGAACTCAAGCAATCCATACATATAAAAAATTACATTTCATGAACAGAATTGTGGAATTGAGAGCAATTTCAAAATTGTCTTACTTTTTTTGATACACCCTGTAGTTCTAGGAGATAAAATAGCAAAATTTGAGGCTCGAGCGTTGGCCACTTATACAGCGTAGAATTTATAGCTCAATATGTTTGCATCAGACAGTATGCAATCGACATAGTTATTCGCGACGTTCATGATAGGGACTACTGAACACTTCCAAAGCTAATAAACCTATATCTTAATATCCTATAACTTAGGACATTTTAACAATACATTTATAGACTTATTAGACTATACGAAATGGAAACATTTACTTATCATACTATAGATAACAGCAAGATAAGAAATTATTTTATTACTGGAGATTTGTTGCGTTAAATTTTCCTGTATTTATCTAGCGCATAGAAGGAAAAATTTTTGTACGAAAAAATATTAAAAATAAAAATATGAAAAAATGCGTTTTTAACACATTTTATGACCCACGACTTTACCCACGACTTTACCCACGACTTTACCCACGACTTTACCCACGACTTTACCCACGACACACGACTTTTAACCCACGACACACGACATATAGGGACACTCGCGTGATCGGGGAGCTCGACAGTTCCCAAACTCAGGAAATGAACAGCGCTAATCGCATTATCAATTACTGTTATGAAATGTCATCAATCCAGGTTGTAATGCTTAAACACAGTGTGAAACCAAAGAAGTAGTAAGAGAGAGTAGTATATATACACTGCAAAAAATCAATTTCTTGTTTTAAGAAAATATTACTTATTTTAAGCACAAAATTACTTGTTTTAAGAAAATTTTACTTGTCCCGTGGGTAAGTAAAATATTCTAGGTAAGAATCAGATTTCAAGAAAATTATTCTTAAAATAAGAAAATTAATCTTGGTTAGCACAAAATTCTTGGTAAGAAACTTTTCTAATTTTATAAAGTTTGTTCGTTCACTGCAACCAGGTATATCAATCATGTTTCGCTCGCTACTCTGGTTTAAATAAATGATTACAAAGCCCAGTCGAATTGTAATCAAGACCCAACGTTTCGACACTCCAGTCTAGTGTCTTCATCAGGGGTGATCTAAAACTGCGATCGTGGCTTCTTAAATACCCAAGAGATGACGTCACCTGCCAAGAAGATGCATATATTTCTCTGGAAAATAGGCGCCGTCATCCCTATTCAAAGCATGATGACTCATATTTATATGCCACGCTTCTAGGCAAAGTCTTTGACCATAGCGATTGTTTGTGGTAATTACTTTAGAGTTTTCCCACGCAATCTCGTGTTTGGTGTAACATACATGTTCGGCTAAAGCTGATTTTCCCTTGTCTAAAGTTGAAACAGCCTTTTGATGTTCTTTTAGCCGTGTACCAAACTGGCGTTTAGACTGACCCAAATACTCTTTGTCGCAGTCACCGCATGGTATAGAATATATAGCATGAGTCTTCTGATTTTTTTCAACAGGATCTTTTGGCTTTGCGAAAATATGGCCTAAAGTCAAATAGGGTTTTAAGGCAACCTTAATATTACAATTACTTAAGATTCTCTTGATTGGTTCTGTGACACCTTGAATGTATGGAACTATTGCAAAACCCTTAACAGAAGTATCACCCTCAGAGTTAGTTTGGTTCCTACAAACAGGTGGCCTCAGGCAATCATTAAGAAAACGCTTTGGCTCTTAAAAAAGATCCGGACAGGGTTATTCTTTCAGCGGACAAAGGCAATTGCGTTGTTGTTATGGACAAACATGATTATCGCGAGAAGGCTCTTTCACTGTTGAATGACAGAAATACGTATTCTATTCTCAAGTCTGATCCTACTGGAAAGACTCAAAGAGGTTTAAACGCCAAGTTACTTCTTTTGAAGAAATCCAATATTATCAGCAAGACTACATATGAAAAGTTATACAGCAGTGATGGACTATCTCCGCGTTTCTATGGCTTACCGAAAATCCATAAACCGGAAATTCCATTGAGACCTATTGTGTCCTTTGTGAATTCTCCTACATATGGAGTTTCAAGTTTTTTGGCGAAAATTTTGTCCCCTGTGGTGGGAAATACCGAAAACACTGTCAAAAATTCCTGTCATTTTGCAGAATTTGTAAGAGGTAAAACTCTTAAAGCAGATCAAGTGTTGGTATCATTTGATGTCGTTTCCTTGTTTACAAATATCCCAGTTGATCTTGCCATCAAGGTTGCGGCAAAAAGACTAAGACAGGATGCCACTTTGTTACAAAGAACATCCTTGCCTGTAGAAGATATTATTGATCTTCTGTCTTTTTGTCTCAACGCCACATACTTTGTGTTTGAGGGCTGTTATTATCAACAGGTTTTTGGAACAGCGATGGGGTCACCAGTTTCGGCAGTAATTGCTAATTTAGTAATACAAGATGTCGAACAAAGAGCTTTAGCCTCTGTTCCGGTGCCCCTATCGTTTTGGAAACGTTTCGTCGATGATGTCATCTATGCGGTTTCTACAAATGAGATCCATATTCTGCTGCAACATTTAAATTCTATTGAGCCGTCCATCCAATTCACGGTAGAACGTGAGATAAATGGACATTTAGCTTTTTTAGATTTGAATGTACACAGAACTGTCGAAGGGAAGTTAGAGACTGATGTTTATCGCAAACCCACACACACAGACAAATACTTGTCATACGACTCTCATCACCCAGTAAGCCATAAAAGATCCGTAGCAAAAACTTTGCTTCAAAGAGCTGAATCGTTGCCGTCAAACAGTGATTCTCAAGCTAATGAACGTGAATATGTCCTAAATGTTTTAGGGGAAAACAATTACCCAAAGCGTTTTCTTAATGATTGCCTGAGGCCACCTGTTTGTAGGAACCAAACTAACTCCGAGGGTGATACCTCTGTTAAGGGTTTTGCAATAGTTCCATACATTCAAGGTGTCACAGAACCAATCAAGAGAATCTTAAGTAATTGTAATATTAAGGTTGCCTTAAAACCCTATTTGACTTTAGGCCATATTTTCGCAAAGCCAAAAGATCCTGTTGAAAAAAATCAGAAGACTCATGCTATATATTCTATACCATGCGGTGACTGCGACAAAGAGTATTTGGGTCAGTCTAAACGCCAGTTTGGTACACGGCTAAAAGAACATCAAAAGGCTGTTTCAACTTTAGACAAGGGAAAATCAGCTTCAGCCGAACATGTATGTTACACCAAACACGAGATTGCGTGGGGAAACTCTAAAGTAATTACCACAAACAATCGCTATGGTCAAAGACTTTGCCTAGAAGCGTGGCATATAAATATGAGTCATCATGCTTTGAATAGGGATGACGGCGCCTATTTTCCAGAGAAATATATGCATCTTCTTGGCAGGTGACGTCATCTCTTGGGTATTTAAGAAGCCACGATCGCACTTTTAGATCTCCCCTGATGAAGACACTAGACTGGAGTGTCGAAACGTTGGGTCTTGATTACAATTTGACTGGGCTTTGTAATCATTTATTTAAACCAGAGTAGCGAGCGAAACATGATTTTCTAATTTTGTCGCGTGGGTAAGTAAAATTTTCTGATCAAGAATATTTTTCTTATTTCAAGAAAACGGTCTAGCAAAATTTTCTTATTTCTAGAAAAAAATTCTTAGTTCCCCAAGAATTCTTTTCTAGTAATAAGAAAATTTTTCTAGGACATATTGTTGAAATAAGAAAAATAATCTTAATAAGAAAATTTTTCTTACCCACGGGACAAAATTAGAAAAATTATCTTAAATTGAAATCTTGCCAAGAAAATTATTCTAGTTCGATCCTGTGTGGTTTTTAAGAATATTTTTCTTAAGCGACAAGATGAAACTAGAATAATAATCTTGACATGACTTTTTCCTGTTGTCGTCCTACAATATAAAAACAATACTAAAACAACGTTTAAAATAATATATTTACAAGTTATACATGAATAGAATAATTACTGATATACATATGCATGTATAGATATATGTAAAAGTTCTCACTCGTAGCAGTATTGTTCAATTTCTTGCAACATCTTTACCATGTCAGCTTGGCAGTCTGGATGGACACGTTTGTCCTCAAAAATAAGTTTCTGGAGAACCGATAATGATAAAAGCCTGGTTGATGGGTAGTCCAAATCGAGTAGGTAGAAGGACGCCAGGAAGCAAATGACGGCTTTTACAGTTTCGTCATTTTCGAAGGTTGCCAATACCTCCTTGCCAATGTATAGCATCGACCCGTTCCCCTTGGTCATAATCAGCCCTGGTATGTCAGCAGGCTTCTTTTGTACCCAGGTAGTCAAAACTGCGTCCCCTTCCTTTTGTGGAAAAAAATACAAATTAGTTTTGGTAACAACTACACAACCCATTAATTAACAGCTGATTTTTTCACTAACGAGTGCTATCCTCTGGTAAACAGAGCGAAATACTGTGATGGGTGGAACAAGAGACACTGGCAGATAGTTTTGCTAGCCAATATTAGAGAGGTTATGATACACCGGTTACGGTGTACGGGTACGAGTAGCATGATTTGGTCAGCAATATTTTCGTCGATGTCTGTACCTTTACTCGTAATTAAGGTGCACATTTTCCGCATTATATCACTGTCTATTATAAGCAGAAAAAGTATAATCGAATTACAGACATCAGTAAAACAAGATGACACTACTCGTAGCCGTACACCGAAACCGGGGTATCTTAACCTCTCTATTAACTTATCTGGGGCCGGTTGTACCATAGCCTCTCAAAGGGGAGATGGCTGTGAAACTCATTAGAATACAATATTATTAACTCATTATCTATGTTAGTCAACGTTTATTCATAAATCTGGCCCTTCACCGTCACGTGTGTATTGTATTTTCACCCAACTAACCAATTGCAATGTTTTAGGAAAGTCGCCTATCTGTGACTCGAACAATATAGGGAAACTGAAAATTGCTATTGGTGGAGTTGGTAAAATACAATACACACGTGACGGTGAAAGGACCAGATTTATGAATAAACGTTGACTAAGATAGAGTTATTAATTGTTATTCTAATGAGTTTCACAGCCATCTCCCCTTGAGGGGCTTCGGCGGCGAAGTGGTTAGCGCACTTGCCTTTCACCTCTAAGGCCGCAGGTTTGAATCTCAGTGAGAATTTCTCAATGTGACTCGAACCCAGTCCTCATGTGAAAAGAGTAAAAGTCAACGCTCTGCCGAAAGTCGTGGGTTTTCTCCGGGTACTCCGTGTTTCCTCCCACAGGGAAAGTTGACAGGGTGGGTTAGGCACATAGGTCTGGAGGCAGATCATTAATGAGGTACGGGCTAATAGCGGCTGCTCAAGCGCCATTTGTAAGCTCAAAGTCTACCTCGGTCTGCTTCACGTCAGTCCGGTTCTATCTATCTATCCATAATGTAACCAGTCACTGAAAAGCCCTATAGGGAGTGTACTGTGAAATATCTGTATCTGTATCTCCCCTTCGATAGGCCATGGTTGAATGAAGGCCAGATAAGGGTATCCACCGTATAGTGATTTTTCAACCTTTGTAAAATGCTTGAAAACCTTTGAAACTACGGATATATAGACGACACAAGAAGTATAAAAAACATTTAACTTATAAATACTATAAACATTAATACGAGTTATACAAATCAATGACCGATTTGACAAAGCTTGAAAACCTCACTATCCGCTGGATATCGCTATCCGGCTTTCGTACAACCGGCCCCTGAACTACAATAGGAAAAGCTCAAGACAAAGATGTATACTAAATTTGATTCAGATGAAATATAAAATGAAACTATGACCTCACCTCAACAAAGTTTATTGTATCCACTTTGCTCTTAGAAGGTTTACTTTTCGATTTGAACAGCGAATTAATATTCTTCATTAGGTGAAGTACTTTTGCGTCTGGAATTACATAAAAAATTAATATTAATTCAGTTACATTTTTAATAAGAACATTGTGATTTTGAGAGCTAAAAAATGCAATTTTCATATCATTTATTAGTATATAAACCAAAATGCAATTTTCATTCATTATTTTCTATCAACACCTAATGTTGGTGCCAATGAATCCAATGTTGGTACTCTAATTAATCAAAAAAACAGAATAATATGATTTAATTACCAGATGACTGTCCACGTGGTGGCTTCATAACTCCCTTTGAAATTCCATAATATATAATTGGATCCAACCGGTCCATCAGCTTCTTCTCACAATTCCTCAAGTATATGCTTTCTTCTGCTTCTTCGGGTTGATTGAGGCTTCTACGAACTTCTTCAACAACCTGCAGAAATAATGATGAGGGATAAGGAATTTTTTAAATATAATCGTTACATACTTCATTCCAGAGTTTTTACCAGGGGTGCACCGGATAGTGCTTCTTACTATCCGACCGGATATGCCACCCTGACGCATTGAGTGTTTAAATACAATTTTTCTCAGTGGCCAAAAACTTTATATAACACTTATGTTTATATAATGAAATCCATTGTCTTATGAAGACGCGAACATTCGTGTTAATTGTCAAATTCTATTTGCTATGCAGATTCCGATGACGTTTACGTCATTGTATATTTTCATATGAAAATTAAGAGCTGATTAATAAATGGCGAGTTTTCAGCCTGGGCTGAAATTTCACCCCGTTTGAGCTGCCCAGCCTGGCAGCATGTAATAATCGCAAATAATTTCAGCCCGGACTAAAACAACAACCATTTAAATTGCTTTACAGTATTTCGCGTGTTTGTTTCATCTTTAAATACTTTTCATATAACCACAGTCTCACCACAGTTAATAGACACAAGTCAAATAGTCGACTATTAATCAGCGTCTGAATGCTTTATTAAAGAAGCGTAACAGGCTTAGGCCAACGAAAATCGATATCATGTTTCTCGTCCACAATTTTCAAAAATTTGGAGCGGGATTTTTTCATTTTTCATTATTTTTATTTGAATTGCTGTGATTGGTCGGGTATACATCTGAACCTCGCTAATTTATAAGTATGAGTCACACTTACAAATTAACGAGGATCAGATTTGATTTTGAGTATTTGATTCCATAATCCGTTTTTCTATTAATTAATAGAGCACCCCTAAGCAAAGTTAAAATATACTGCATTTGTAAATGAGGCATTTCAAAGATTCCGAAATTTTTTAAAAATGCAATTCTGCGCTACATAACTTAGAACCTCAATAACAAGAGCTAATCAATATAAATAGTATAGGACGCTAGTAATGACATTTTTTCAGTATGCGTATCGGAAATAAATTCAATAGACTATTCAACACAAGTTTTAATGGCATACCAAAAAAGTTTAATGATGTTATTTTGATAACACTAGCACAACAATTATTCGCGCGCGTGCCGCGTTGCCTAGCGACAGAATCACAAAATCAATCAAAATAGTGTCAATACTGAATCAACAAGAAAATATTTCTTTGAAAAAAGAAATAATGTTTCGTTCCAATATAATTATAGAAATACCAGAAGTCTGTAAATAGCGGTTGTGACCATAGATCACTTGTATATGTCGAGCAATGAAATTGGTTCATTTTGTGAGGCGGGTGGGTTCTGGTAATTTTTTGCACGTATTAGCATAAATTTTCATTACCTGGAGGGGCCGAGCGGTCCAGAAATACAGTAGTAGTATTTAAAATGAAGAAAAACAAAGAAAACTATATAATAAATATATACCGCTGTTGGCGCTTGAATACTTCAAAATTAATATAAATCATCGTGCCTGTAGATTTAACCTGAAGTTCAGGCCCTAAGATTTGGATTGGTTGCAAGTTCACATAAACAACAGTTTTAAAAATAGCTCGGTCAAGGGCTCAAGGGGACAATAATAATATAAAGGTCAAACGCACGTAACAAATCCATTATCGATTTCTTCGAATATCTTTTCTTTTATGCTTTATGGCAGAAAATAAATCAAACAAATAGTATTTTGAAAGGTCTTTATCAAAATCGAATTTTGGACACAAGACGCTGAAAGAACAGCCAAACTAGTCATCTATTCGAAAGTTTGTTGTTGACAGCCAAGATGTTCTGCCAACTGGCTTCGCCGGCAAAAGTCTTATTTTTAATATCAGGTCCTACCGGCGTTGTTTTCTGCGCTACATCGCCTTCTTCGTGGAACGATTGAGAATTTTATTGTTGCTGTTGTTAGCCCGTTAGATTATGGAAAAACTTATTACAACAGCTAAACAGAAATTCCCTAATTCTAAAATTGGAATTTCTGGACTTACATTGAGACAGGATAGTGATTTAATATCAAAAATAGAAGAAATTAATGAGAAAGTTCAGAGTTTGTCATCTAAGCATGATGTGACATTTATAAGTAATATGTCAATAGATGAGACATGTTTGAACTCTAGTGGCCTGCATCTAAATGCAAAGGGGACTGCCATACTAGCTACACATTTTATTAAGTTCCTTAGGGATGGGCAATCCTTACGTTCACTGCGCCCACAAAAACATTCCCGTCAGGATTTTCCAAAGAACACGATAAACCATCTGGCAGAACTACTAAATGCGATAATGAACGTGAACAAGTAAATTGTCAAGATGTGCCAAGCAATTCTTTATTAGGCATAGATAGTGAAATTAACATAATCGCCAAAAGTAAAGGTTTGAAGATAGCCAACTTAAATGTAAATAGCTTAATGAAACATCTGGATGAAATTCGCTTAATCCTTAACAATAACGCCCTTGACATTCTTGCAATTAATGAGTCCAAAATTGATAATCAGATTTCAAATAATGAGATACATATTGATGGTTTTAATATAATTCGTAAAGATCGAAATAGGTTTGGTGGTGGTGTGGTTCTATATGTTCGCCAAAACATATCATTCTCAGATAGAATAGATCTAATCCCTGATGAACTTGAGATGGTCTGCATTGAATTAAGTTTACCCTACAATAAATCACTGCTAATAAGCACATGGTATAGACCACCAAATTCTCTTATGAATAAATTTGATTACTGGGCAAGCTTTTTATCAAAATGTGATAATGAAGATAAGGAGCTAATCCTCATAGGAGATCTAAATTGTGATGTCAGTAAAACTATACCTGACCCTCACACATGTAAGTTGCAATTTTTATGTTCTCTGTATCAGATAGACCAACTTATTAAAGAATCTACAAGGCTAACTCCTAAATCAGCTACACTAATTGATTTAATATTAACAAATAGACCAGAAAATATTTCCAGATCAGGTGTCATTCACCTGGGAATTTCAGATCACAGCCTTGTCTACGCTGTGAGAAAATTTACACTACCGAATGGAAGGCAAAAAATTCGTCAGGTTCGTAACTTTAAAAACTTTGTCGAAAATGATTTCATTCGGGATGTGTCTCAATTGCCTTGGGAGATGGTCTATCAGTTTGGAGATCCCAATTTATGTTGGCAAGTCTGGAAATCACTATTATTAGATGCACTTAATAGACATGCCCCTCTGCGCCACAAGCGAATAAGGAATAACCCTGTCCCATGGATTAATCCTCAAATTAAAGAACTTATGAGAAAAAGGGACTATCACAAAAAAAGGCCATAAAATATGATTCGGAGTCACAGTGGGAATTGTATAAAACACTACGTAATGAAGTAAATATAAACATGCGGAAAGCAAAATCTAAGTACTTTTGTGATAAAATCCAGGCAAGCTCTCAAATGGGAGACAGTAAAAGTGGATGGGCTTGGATAAATTCGCTCTTAGGAAGAAAGCATAAGAATGCAAATATTAATGAACTGAAAGTAAATGATGATATTATTTCTGATGATAAATCTATTACTGAAACATTAAATAAATATTTTATAAATATTGGAATGAAGATGGCTGCTGAATCAGCATGTCAAAGCACTGATGCTTTAAATGATCAAGTAATTTATGAAAGTACTGCGCTTCTTCCTAAAGAAAATTTTCACTTCGCAGATATTACTATAGATAGTGTTTCCAAACGCCTACAAAAACTAAATGTCTCAAAAGCGACAGGTATGGATGGAATACCTGCGAATATTTTAAAACTGACATCAACCCTTATTGCTCCATCTATAACTTTTATATTTAACCTATCGATTAGAACTGGTATTTATATAGATGAGTGGAAATTGGCTAGAGTTATACCAATTTACAAATCTGAGGATAAGCGTAAATGCGAAAATTATAGACCAATTTCAATTCTTCCCATAATAAGTAAAATATTTGAAGGGGAAGTTTTTACTCAAATATATAGCTTTTTGAATAAACATGCGCTTCTGTCTAAATTTCAATCCGGGTTTAGACCAAAACATGGAACCTTAGGTGCTCTTATACAAATGTGTGATCAATGGCTACAAGACATGGATGAAGGCAAAATAAATGGAGTTGTTTTTCTTGATATATGTAAAGCATTTGACTCGGTGAATCACGAGATATTATTGGAGAAGCTTAAAACCCAGTTTGGAATTCACGACATTGAATTAAAATGGTTCCAATCATACTTAAGGAATAGAAAGCAAGTGTGTTCTGTTAATGATCAAACTTCTTCTGCAAGAACAATAATATGCGGAATTCCGCAAGGATCCATACTTGGTCCATTATTGTTTTTGCTATATATTAATGATATGCCTGATATTCTAGAAAGGACAACCCCATGTCTTTATGCCGACGACACTCAGATATCTTCCTCTTCGCATGATTACGATACATTGATTGACAATTTGAATATGGACCTTTCCAGTATTCATAAATGGCTTGCTAAAAACAAACTAAAATATCATAGGAAAAAAACAAAAGTCATGTTTATTGGATCTACGCATAATCTAAATCATAAAATAGGAAATAGACCCGTTGAGATTAACAAAATCCCAGTCCCACAAACCAATACATTTAAATGTCTAGGTGTAAATCTAGATGAAAAATTAAGTTGGGAGAAACATATTGATTCTGTATGCCATAAGATTAGCGCTGGAATAGGAGCAATTAAAAGAATAAAACCTTATGTTCCACACAAAACCTTACATGATGTCTACAAAACATTAATTCAGCCTCATTTTGATTACTGTTCTCCCCTGTGGGATAACTGTGGTTTGGGACTTCAAGACAAATTGCAAAAATTCCAAAATCGAGCAGCAAGGGTGATTACCGGAGCTGACTACGATGTAAGATCGTCTGAAGTCCTAAACAAATTAGGCTGGGAAACCCTGGCTAGGAGACGAGAACAAAACAAGCTAGTATTGATGTATAAAGTCTTGGGGAACCACACTGCGCCAAACCTTAAAGATCTTTTTTCTCGGAGAAATGCATCGCAGAATATTTATGATTTACGCAATAGCGAAACTGATCTCTCGTTAAAAAAACCGAAAACGGAATTTCTAAAGAAAACATTTGGATACAGTGGAGCAATTCTATGGAATAGTCTCCCGCAAGATGTCAAGGCGGCTGAGTCAATTACGTCATTTAAAACAATGGCGAAATTGCATTTAAGCAGATGATAAGCTAATTTCTCCAGGACCAAATGATGGGAGGACAATATAGATTGTGGGCGGGAGGGGGTTAGTTTTGCGTGAGGGTGGGTGGGTACTTGTTTAGGGGGTGGAGGTTTGGGAGGAAGATGATAATATTTTAGGGTGGGATTCTTACATATTTTGTTCTATATATAATTAACATTTAGCTCTTTGTGTGTATACGCCCTTCGTGGAAACCAGCTGTAAATAATTGTCGAAGTTAGCGTATTGAAATAAAGTTTAAAAAAAAAAAAAAAATATATATCCCTGGTATATCCGCGTCCAGCAAGTTGAGACCTTGAGAAAGCTTGGCACTCAAGCTGTACGCAGAACTGACTAATTGAATCTTTGTTTGCTGTTCGGTTAAATAGAGAAACTGGCTCTTAATTATATAAAAGTACCTTGAATTTTTAAGTTTAATTAAAAAGAAAAATGCACACTCTGCGTACATGTTCATGCGAATATAAATTTTTTGTGTAACGAAATCTATAACACTTGTCAATCATATTGCATGCTGTGTCTAAAAATAACATGTGAGCGTCCCACGGTCTAGACAGGTTTTATGTCAGGCCCTATTTAAAATTAGGGCCTGAACTTCAGGTTAAGTTAGCATGTTCTCATAGGTTGATATATAATTAACTAAGATTTCCGATTATACGCCACGCCTCCAAAAAACTTCTTATGCTAGGAGCGGTCATCTCATTGGACGATTCTAAATGTAATTGACGTTTCAGCAAGAATACTGGCAAAGGATTGGATAACTTCGATCTCTGACGTCACTCTCCTGTGATATTGCTCGAAACCAAATACAGTACCGTTTCGTTACTGCTGGGAACGAAACAAAAAATAGTGTAAGCTCAATTACTCTTCGTTTGCCATCATGGCGAATGTTTGGGTTTGCAATATTTGTTTCGTCTTTACTGCACTAACGTTAAGATCGTTGATAAAACATATCACAGTTGCACATGCCTCCAAACCAAATTTCAAAGTTAAATGTCTGATCACTGGGTGCCCAACAGAATATAAGAAGATGAACTCTTTGCGAACTCATCTGAGAAGACGGCACAGGCAATGCCTTGATCTTCTTGGCACTGGCAACGAAATAGATGACCAGGATCAAAGTGATCAACCACAAGATCAACTGCAGAGAGAGTTCCAGAATACGTTAAGTTCATCATCCTCTTCATCGGATTCAGAAAGTGAAAGCGAGTGTTCATATTTGGTATGCAATATTTTATACTACATGAAATATTAAAAATAAATATCGTGCAGTACAGACTATTATATTGTGTGTTTCTTTAATAACAATTATATTGATGAATAATATATGCGCAATGTTGGTATAAATTATATATAATATAAAACATCTGAACTGGGGCCCCAAATATGCATGATTAAAAAAGTCTTTAAAGTTTGCATGATTATGACTGTCAATTAATCAGTAATCTCTTAAAATGTAGGATTTCTCTATTCCCGGGGCCTCAGATTCAGGGCCGTACACAGTGGGGGAGGGGGGGGAGGCAACTGCCCCTAGAGAAAACTATATACTTTTTAGAATGTCATTATTAATTATTGTTTGAATATTTGGGACTTTTTCAGCATATCGGCTTTGCTACCCCCTGGTGAAAAAATCCTGCATACGGCCCTGCTCAGATTTCAAAATTTTCTCAGGGAGAATACCACAAACTGCCTTAAGTCAAAAATAGGTTTGGAAAAAATGTAATATAACTTGTAACAATCTTTGGGCCAGCACAAGTGTTTTCCACTATGATCACAGGGCATGTTATATTTTGCCCTGTGCCCCCATATTTCACTGGCCAGGCTGTCTATTTTGTAAAAACTGAGTATTTACACCCTTTCAATTAGTAATAATATGCATCAGTCAATTCCAACTGTGAATATCCCCCTTGGGAGAGTGCATGGCATTTGCATGCTCATTCTTCCCCACATAAAGGCATTTGCTGCTGCTGATTCAGCCTGGGGGTCTTAAGAGGCTGTCTCTCTAAGAACCGACCAATGACTCTCGGCTCATAAAATGAAATTCTTCGTTACTTTCACAATGAAATGTATTTACCCCAAGAACAAACAAACACTATTTGGAATTTTGAAATTTTATTAATTTTTAAAATTTCAGCGACTTTTCGGCCCGCGCTGTCGGGCAGAAAATCCTCTGCCTAAATCAGGAATAAAAATTAGCCGAATTCAAATACATATAATTTTAAAAGTATTCAACCAAATTTTATGATTTTTTCTCCCACCAACGTGAAAATTATTCTACTTTGAAACTTACCTTGTTTTATGATACTTTTACAGAAAGATTATGGCAAACTTTAGCGATAACAAGCACCGGGTGTAAATACGGCTTTGTACGCATATCAAATTCGACTTTAAATTTCTCAAAAGTGGCACCTAACTGGATTCAGTGACTACTATGGTTAAAAAAATGGAAGTTTGAAGTACCCATATCCACAATAAAACTTGTAACTGACCGCGATTTGAAGACTCGACAGCCTCTGAAATTTGATACAATTTGGCTATTTTGTTTAGCTTCAATTATAGCGGAGTTGAGACGTCAGAGCTTCCAGTCACTTGTAAAATGCCCTGTTGTTCCGTATTTTTACACAAGCCTTTAAATCATCGTAGTTAAGCGATTTTTCTGTGTTCATGAACATCACAAGTGGATCTAATTCAAAAAGATTTCGATCGATGCAGCGAGGTAAACGTGGTACGCTTTCGTATTAAAATTAGCTACTCGGGGAAAACCCGGAAATTATTGTCAAATTGTCAATGCTGATATTTATTAATTAATCTAAACCCTTATTTTGTGATCTAAACTCTGTATGTCTATTCTGCACGATTGGAAATGAATTTAAACTGGAAAAAAGACTTGATCTAGAAGACTACTATAGATACTGATTATTCAAAAAGATCCAGTTGCAATCGTGCATGCCAATTGAATTGGATTTGGATTATAGTTCGAATAAGGGTTTTGATTAGTGTTTCAACCAGGGCTTGGCTAAAATTTAATAGAAGAGTCATATATGGAATAGTCTCCAAATGACCCCAACTCTATCCTGAGCCCTACCCTACACCCACCCCACCTCTATTGTGATGTCATTTGAGGACCTTTATATCAACTTCACCTGGAATTGTTTAAGGAGAGCTAATAAAGGGTGAAGTTTATTTTCATACAAGAGTTTTCAAATGACGTCACAAAACGCGAGGTTGGGGTAGGGTCGTACTGGGGGTGTGGGTAGGCCAGGGCATGTGGGGACTCTTATATGAAACGTCGACCAGAATAATGGTAGAAACTGTTCACGATGTATTCAAAAAGGGGAATGTTAATTAATGCGTAAATTACCCCCAATAAAGTATAGTATCATGTGAAGATATAGTGGGGAATCGAAATTGTCAAATATATACTAATGGAATTGCTGTGCATTACACGGAAGAGAAGCTATAGAAACAAGACAATACGTCATGTTTCTGGTTTTCTGCTAATAAATGGCAGTAATTGTTGCACGATTAGACTGTTTATGACGGGAGTGCCAAAATTAGCAATGACTCTATTTTACCTCGCTTACCTCGCTGTAACGTTTACCTCGCTGCATCGAGCCAAATCTTTTCGAATTAAAACAACTTCTGATGTTCATGAACACGGAAAATTCGCTTAACGGTTTGTGTGAAAAAAACAACGGAACGACGGCGCATTTTACAAACGACTGGAAGCTCTGGCGTCTCAACTCCGCGATAATTGAAGGTAACAAAT